GTAGACCTGGAAGGATCTTGCGACATAAAGCAGAATACACAGATACACTCAACAATGATTGTCACCCGAGGGCGAAACTGGAGTTGCCAGGATCATCGCAAGGGGATGGTTCAGATTTAGGGTATTTCAGGTTCAGACACCTATACATGATTCTCGCAAGAGGGAAAAATCACACGGCGTAGGTCCAAACCACGCGGAACAGGGCAATGAGGAAGAGTCACAACAGACCTAAAACGATGCATGAAGACCTTCACATACCCCGACTCCCAGAGCAATTCACGACAGAAAGTACCATGCAAGTGTTCTCCCACGCACTCAGACGACAGCAGAAGGGAAAAAATAGGACACGACCGAATCCATGACACAAGAAACAAGATTCGCTGACCCTCCAACGCGAGGTTCTAACAGGGACCATTCTGGGACCAGATAGATGTCTTGCACTTTCAAAAACCCTGCACAAGCATCACCTCCTACCACGAACTGAATACTAACCCAAGAATATCTCCCGCGGAAGCCTCTAATTATCCAATTCCATCCAATGTGTACAATCCGAATCCAGGACTACATTGCACAAGATTTCCAATCCCAACACAGGTAAGGCTGACCATTTACGATTGAGCGTCAGAATGTAATCGTTCGCATGTTTGATTATGCAGGCGCTATTGTTCCCCGTGAGAGATGCCGGGATATCCAATGAAATCCGGCGAAGATCAGAAGAAAGCCAAACGCGCGCTTCCACACAGAAACCCTGACTAGATCTGCATATTTTCTACCCGCGACACACAAACCCCAGTAACTCGCGAACAAAGATCAGTAATGGAATGGAATTACGCTAACATTTCGAAGAAATCATAGCCAAAGCAGCTAAGGCTTAAACAATCGACTCACTCAAACAACGAAACGGCACGATGAACGCAGAATTCAACCACACGCCCAGCGGACAAGTGACAAAAATAGACTAAAGGGAAGCGAGAAGTGTCAAAAGAACGACGGGTGCAGCAAAGAGGCGCGTCTGGAACTTGGTAGAACTAGGTCGAATCATGTTTGCAGGCCGACGCCGCATGAGCTCTCGAAGGCATGAACTTGGCGACCAGGGACCCATCATGACGAACGAACGATCTTCCTTGCGCACCCCGGCAATAGACCCAACATACTATCAGCACCTTTAACTGCTACGACATCACGACTAGATCCAGGAATTCCTGTCCATAGCCTCGCACAGAAAAACTCAGAAAACAATGAGGAAGAAATACACAACTTCACAGTATTCCGAGACCCATGCGCGCATTATGATGTGCAACTAGGTCCTCAAAAGGCATGGTGGCACAGGCTTCCGCAGACACACGAAGCTTTCAACACTTGCGCAAGGGTTCCCCAATCTGTGCGTGCCCGCAAACATTGCGCTCACGACGCTAAGATCACAAATCGTGTCAAGACTTAGGACGACCCAACAGTTTGAGTAGCGAGGCGAAAAAACGGGGGACACAACTAACAAATCACCGCTTCCACGGGTAACAGGGGAGAAAATTGGGTTCATCACAGGTTCATCTTTCGAACTGCTCAGACAGGGCAACATTCCACCAACATCCACCCGCAATCACCCAGAGTCTTCCAGCCAGCGAAAGAAACACGTCTGTTTCATGCCGTGCTTGGTCAAAAAAAAACAACCCAGGATTTAGGACCAGCAACCGGGAAACTTAACTGAGATCGATTTTGCGTAGACCCAGAAAGCGAGTCAGCGCCAACCTGCACGCCAACATTGCAAAATCTTCAACTAAAGCCGGCTGTGGAAAGAGCACACAACGCGCGCAACAAAACTTATTCGTCGCGGAAAATACCAAATCAACCCTCAAATCCAAGCGCCGCAACACCGATGACGAACGACAACCAAGTTCCACAGATCACGGCAGGTCCAACGCGACCAAAAAAGCCAAACTTCACTGTTCGCGGGCTCATCTCCACACAATGCATCAACGCTAATTATGGATTGTTAACGTGTTGACGGGGCCAATTAAGACATTAATTTTTAGCCGTTTTTATACTTTTTATTCGCCTTACTTAATTAGCTTAAGCCCGTGGATGCTGCCCGTCATCTGGTCTTCGAATTCGCTGGCGGTAAGATTCAGAGCACGGCAGCATTTGATTCAAAAGACCTGCTTGGAGAATGATCGGCGAAAATCCATGACTCCGTCGGAAAACCCAGTAAAATTCCCTGTCCATAACTGAATCCGATTAGATCATGAATTCCCGCCACTTCATTCTTCATCAGCGGTGCCCACTAACTTCTGTAATCAATTGGTAAACACCTTTCGGACCGGAAAAATACTTTGAATCCCCGCCAACCCTTGATATTCGTCGTCTCCAACAAGCGGGAATATTTCTAAATGTTTCAGGGGTTGTCCAACCGTTTTTCCGGCATACGACAAGCGTAGAAGTCCGGGTTAACAAACGAGAAACCTTGGAATTCCTCCTGGTTGATGCTTTGCACGACTTGTGGAAAAATTGGTGTCAGTCGTGGTTCTTCTTTGGTGAACTCGAAATCGAAGTTCGATGCATCTCGCTTGTTTTTCTGTCGAGAAGATTGGACCAAGAAATAAAAATTTCCACATAAAAGAAAAAACAGCATGAAAAATTCACGAACAATTTTTGGCCGCATTGGAGGCTTGACTTTCTTTGCCTCCAGTGCAACCCAATCAATGGTGCTGAAGAAGGCGTGTCGGCGGATAGCATCTTCTCCGCCATGAGATTCAACACATCCAAGTCTTCGACTGGGATTCTTCGTCATGAACTAAAGGGATCACAATAAATGATCATCACCTCTCATGAGAGAGTAAAGAATAACGGACCCCTTTCAAGATGGATACAGCGTCGCGTCCGATCCAAACCGGATATAGCACATCGTCGTGAAGGATCGAATCAAACAAATCGTCTTCATTCTCAGCTTCGAAGGGCGGCTGCCCAGCCATCATTTCGTACAAGAGAACCCCTAAGGCCCACCAGTCCACACTTGCACCGTAATCCAGCTCCTCCAATATCTAGACGAAGAATGGAATGACGTTAGCAATAATCCACTGACAGAAAACAAATTTTCAAAACATGTTCGAACATAACTGCAAGGTTTTTTCAACCATTTGCTGAGCTTAAGCACTGTGCTAGTCATACATAACACAAACGGAGTCATGACGAGAACACGTTGGGAGACATCGACAAGTACTGATCACAAATTCTGGGGCCATTATCGGAAATTTCCCAAGAAAAAACTCAACAATCGATATTCAAGACGGAGTCAAGGATACAATGAAACAGTGATGATTGCCGAAGATTCCGTCAGAATACTACATCAAAAAAAGAACGAATATTACTGCACCTATTCATGAAAAGAACGAAAACGAGAAGCAGGTTCTGGTTTTCAAACTGACCTTCATAACACATCGATTCAGTCAAACTACTTAATAATGATCACCGTTCTCCCTGCAGGAAAAAGACGATTCACTGAGCTTTCCTCCATTTTCTTGTATCAATCGGAAAAAAAATGAATTCCGCGAAACACTCGACGAAGGGGAAGTGAAAATGCTGACTTTTACCAAGTTATTTAAAACTGTACGAAAATCGGACATCCAGCGAGGGAAAATCCGTTTATTCGACCATGATTCAGTACTTTGTGAGAGAGAGAGACATAGAATCGGAGAACCATCCAAAAACGAACAATTCTGAGCTGAACGAAGAATCCACAAGATAACACGAGACATTTGCGCGAATATTTTGCGAATGGAAAATGTACCATATACTACGACCATAAGCCAAAAGCGGGAATTGAAACGAGCACTCCTTGAACATAGTGAACAACGCACAATGAATTCTTACACCATGGTGAAAATGTTGCGCTAACTTTTGGCGGAAAGTTTTCCGCAACTTCTCTCAACCCATCAATGAATTCAGCGAATTTTTTTTTAATTAACCCCAGTAGTTGATCACATCTGGCAGAAAAGATGCTCGAGACGAAAGATGAAGCCAAAAAACATCTTCCAACCTAAAATAAAACTTCGGCATTTCTAGTAATTTCCCACAGAAAACTCAACGAGAAGAAAACTTGGAAAAATCTTCTATTCCTTTGTGTCATGTACCAGCACCAAAACTCAAAGACGTCAGCTGAGAAAAAGGGCATATATGCGATGCGACAAAATCTAATATCAATCCTCGACACTTTTGAACGCCACATGGGGAACTGCTTTTGGCTTCGGGAAAATATACCTCCGGGGCTATGTAGTCTGGAGTTCCGCAAAATGTGTTCGTCATCACACCGTGCTTGATTCCTTCCTTGCACATGCCAAAATCGGCTATCTTCACATGACCTTCAGAATCCAATAAAATATTGTCCAACTTCAAATCACGGTAGATCACCCCGTTCTTGTGCAAAAATTGTAGTGCCAGTGTGACTTCGGCACCATAGAACCGTGCGCGATTCTCGTCGAACTTGCGGGCTCTTTGGATTTGGAACATCAAGTCTCCCCCGTTCACGTATTCCATCACGAAAAACAGGCGATCCTGTAAACAGCCATGCATCAGGTTCATGCAATAATAACACCCGATAGTTTTCCATCAACAACCTCTGTTTGGAAAGACGAGTGCAAAGCAGTCAGGAACGGATGCTTCGCGGACAAGGCTAGGATTCGCTTCTCTGTCATTGTGCAATCGACGTCATCATCTTGCAGTATCACGTCCTTTTTCAACACCTTAAAGATAATCAAAAAGCCATGCAAATACTGATCATGAATCGATCAGATCTGACTGAATACCTTAACAGCGTACACCTCATCGGTTCCCCGAAGTTCGCCGAGCATAACTTTCCCGAACGAACCTTTACCAAGCACTTTGATGAATGAGAAATCCGCCAGACCGTACTTTCTAGCCGTAGCACTTTTCCGTACGAGATTCTCGAGATTCTTGTCTAAAATAAATAGATTCTCGTTAAACGTGCTGCAAGCATCGTCATATTCCCGTCAGTCTAATAATGATAATTTCGCACCAGTGTCTGTTAACGGGTGCTCCTTCTCTCGTAGAATCGGTCCGCCAGATTTTTCTCGATCTTTCAATCGCTTATCCATTATCTCTTGCGCAGCTAGACGAAGGACAAGCTCATCTTCGGTGCACTGCTGAGTCCAAACTCCGGCATTGCTTTCGGCTCCGGCGGAAGCATCGCTTCCACTTCCGCCGTCCTCCGGCAATTCTGATATTGGCAGCGGGGAACTCGAAGTTTTCTCATAAGGAGGCTGAGAAGATAGACGGCTATCACTTATAGAAGGCTGGAAAAGAAGGAATAAATAGTGTTCACGCTACCAAGAACCGCCACCAGTGACAAATCTACCACAAAATTTCAGATGCGATTAAGTTAATAAATATACTCAATACACCGAAGAGCAGAAGATTTCAAAAGCAAATACCTTCTTCGGACGTTTTTGCGTGATCTCCTTGGTTACGCCCAATTCGTTCAATATTTCTGCCATTTTCTTAGTATCGATTCCGCAATTGTTCGCGACATTTTTCTGACACCGCTTGTGCACATTCATTCCGCAAACTGGTTGAAGACATTAAGATATGAAATCATAGGACGATTGAAAAATTCTGAGTTGAGACAAACCTCCGCAATGCAGTCCTTGCTTGACAAGTCCATAGAGTAATGATCCGCAGTGATCACAGAACGTAAATCGCTTGTAATTATGAACTGCGAATCGATGTGGAACGTTCACGCTGAATCGCTTGATGGCCTGCGAAATGCGAAAAAACCGCAAGCATTAGACGGCGGAAATCAACATTTCATGCAACAAGCTCCATCAATGCCAAACAGCACGATGAAAAGCAAGCTCAAAATTCAAAGAGAGATTAGCGGATATGCCTGAATAGTGAATACGATCGGATTTAAATCAAGATCAGAAAAACAGGCCGCCAAAAAAAAAACAATGTACGGTATGTCTCTTACTTCATCTTGATGAGTCATATCCTTTAACTGCGGACATTTTGTAACGATGAATTGATGACATCTTTTGTGCACCACCAAAGTGCAAACTTGACACTGGTATCCTTGCTTCCCAATACCCCTGTTCAGCAAAACGATCGAACATTCTTCACTGAATCAGTCCGGGACCAGAAAAAATGACATTACGAACCATATGAAATCCCGACAATGGGAACAAAATGTAGGTTGACGCAGAAAAGTTGCCATGAACTTGTGACCATTGACCTGATGCACCTTTCGTCTCATTGCACCTCGTCTCTTGTGGAAGCCACGTCCTTCCTTGAATTCCCGTGGCTTCGAAGGTTGTGCACTGGCGTGCTGATCTGTACAATCGCATCAAAGCACAACACCCATTTAACTGTCAGTTCGAACACCGGATATCAAGAAACTGACCGGAACCAGGTTGAGCCCATTGCAGGTCTATAATCACATGCAGTCGCCCCCGAGGTTCTAGATCCACCTATTTTGCATAGAAGAAAGTCACTTCACACCAAGTTATCTCCAAAAGTGACAATGATGAGAATACTCACCCAGATATCCTTGTGCTCCGCATTAACTAGTTCCTCGAATGGAATACTGCAATTCGCGACAAAATCATCTGGTGGAATGGCGGCGCTGTGGAAAACGGTAAGTCCCAGCGCCTGCCCATTCGTCACTTCATACTTGAAAGTTTCATTCCAAGTTGGCTTCGTCGTCCTCGTCTTCGTGGTCGTACGATCGACATGATTCTCATCGACATCGACGGCCACATATGGATCGATGAGCTGCTGATCTCCTTTGGCAATGCTGATGGAATGTCGTGTCTGGAAATCCGTCGGCCGCAGGTCCTTCGCTTCACATATTTTAACCTTCAAGCTTCCGGTGAACATCTGGTCGGCTTGCTATGAACGATGTAGCCCCTACAGAATAGGGAATAGCGCGATGGGAACTGGGTTGTGCTTTACAGCACTAATAACTTCGCGCGTAGGATAGTTCCACAAGTTTAAATCGCCATGCGGAACATCCGGTGTGGCAGGCAGGAGGTACTCTACAGTCAACAGACACTCTTTGTTTACGAACTGACTCGTCATTTCGCACTCCAGAACAACTCTTGAGTACGAACTGACTAGTCAGTTCGTACTATAGAGTATCTCCTGCCATCACGCAGGGCATACAGTAAATGATTCCCAAGAATAGCAGTAACTCCGACACCACGATGTCCAGTTTAGGACTATGTCCGGCAACACGAACTCAGTATGAAAGATAAGTCAAGTCGTTCATTCAAAGGTTAAAATCGAAATGCCTTTCTGGCTCCTGTCTCCATCCATCCTGCCCAATTGCTCCACTGTGGCCTTTCCCCCCTCCCCAGCTGAACCTGGTGGGGATGATAGAACAAACGGTAAGCATTCCATACTGCTCGATAGGTGTCACTACTAGTTCATGTGCGAATCGCATACTGTACTATGGGCATGGGCACTCACCAAAGCTTGCCTGATGAGAAACCAACCCCCGCGCTTTGCGGTCCGCCCCTCCCCCCAATCATAGGGCTCCGGAAACAATGCAGACCAAGGCAAGCAGTCTCTCCTGGCCTCCTGGGGTGACAGACCCCACCAGCAAGAAGCTAGAGGGAGCTGCAGGTAATGGTCTCACACATGGCGGCTCCCATAATTTCTGCTCATTCTCCATGGTGGAGGGCGCAGTTCCTTGGGAAATTCAAGGATGGGAGGAGCTGTGGAGGTGTAAATTTTACTCATTCTCGCGGGTCAAGTGATATCCTATGAGCATGGATATTGTGTATGACTGTTCATCATTCTTCAGAGTGCTAGACCAGTCTTCCAGACAAAGGAAATTTTCACCACAGGGTTTTGGCAGTATCAATAAGGAATGGAGTTTCCCCTGTTACTGGTGTCCTTGAGCTGTCAAAGTATTTCTGCAAAGTTCATTGAAAAATCCTGGTTTGAAATTTGTGCCCAGCAAAAAATTTGGGCATGTGTAAACCCATTGGGAGACCCATCCACCAATGGTCACTCCTGCCATTAGGAAAATGGTCGTACAGGAATCTTTGAATGTATTTAGTGGGCATTTAGACTAAAGCCCAAATGAATGGCCTTACATTCGTGAAAGCAGGCATTAATGTGACCCATTGGCAAACCCATTCATTGAATGGGTGTGCAAACAAAACACCTGAATGGGTATGCCAATGGGTCACTGTACAGTTTGGTTGTTGAATGGGGGGGTTGTAAATAATGATCATTGCGCTGATGGATATGCATTTAATTACATTATTCATAATTCATATTTGTATGATTAATTACTTTAATAAAATATTTCATAATTCATAAAAAATGCCCCCCTCAAAATATGTATGCAAAAATGAAATAAATAAGAAGCAGCAGTTTGAATTAATATAAAGAATTTTATTTGGAATTCAATTCATGTACAAACACTCAAATGGAATTGATTGAACAAGTACTGGATATACAATAACGTAGATGATCATATACAGTATAGCTGCATGAAGCATGCACAAATCCAATTATTGAAGAAAAATAATTCAAAAATAACAAGATATATAAACACATATTCCAAAAATATGCACAGATAGACAAAAATATATACACAGATAGACAAAAAATATACACAAAAGTTGTACAATATTTCCTTGATCCATGCATGAAGGACATATTGTACAAATTTATGAACACTCAGTAGTTGGAACTACATTCTATCTTATCTCATTCTTCTCAAGTTGCATTGCGTTAGCATTAAAAGTATTTGAAATTATGACATTATTATGTGCATCCATACAAAGCTGATTAGCTAGCTAGCATATGGGGCCATAGTACTGTACTATATGACTTGCTTTAAATAATCTTTGAAATGCAACACATATATTTTCACTGAAAGTGGTTTTCTATTTTGAAACTTTGTAAGAATATATTCAAATCTAACATATAATCTTTATTCTGTGAATTCTTGATGAAAAAGTAATGATTCTCTCAAAATCTTTTTAATCATCTATCACTTAATTATTTCTGATATAATTTTTGCATTAATTTCATTCACCAGCTGTGAAATGAAATAAATAATGAGTATAGAAGGATGGGCATAAACACAAAAGAAACAAAAATGTTCTGCTATTATCTGCAGAATTATTCTGTTCTTTGTTTATACAGTATATCAGAAAGATCAAGTTGGCTTATTGGAAAATTAGTCAGAAACAGTCATGCATTTTTATCTGATAATGAATTTTTTTCTATATATTGTACTCTCAAATGTCCACAATGACACATCTCCACTTAATTGCTGGACCCCTTTCTTGCCAGAGCAGCAGAACTCTATGCTAGCAAAACTATCTTCCCCACTGCACCCCCCATCCCACCTAGCATGCACTTTCCATCCCCACCACTCTCTCATCCAAGCACACCCATGATAGACTTCAGATGAGGTAGGCTTCACACTGGAATAAACAGTATCACAGGACAAGTTCTACACAGTATACAGAGGAGTCCACTTTTTGTCCCTCAAGTGTTACAAAATGGTAACCTATATCTTCTGCTATGATCATATTTGAAAGTGCAAACCTTCTTGAAGTGTGGTTTAAAAATTGATACAGATGGAGCTTGACTTGACTTGTTGTGAGGACTGTTTAACAATTTGATTTGATCAAGTATATCCATGTAATAGAAGTACCTTGACGCAGGGCCAGATTAAGGCAGGTGCTAATGATGTTGCAGGATTATGGGTTCACCAGGGGAATAATACGCCCCTGTGAATAAAAAAAATCAGTCAAATGGAGCATTAACAATTTTAAAAGAAATCTGAGGAAACCTGACACAAATAAAACACAAGTAATAATTATCAGATAATCATCACAGATAAAGGAAATCAATACCAGCATACTGTTCATGAAAACTGGCAAGTAAGAGGAAATCAGATCATGGCATGAAATTGGTTGAGAGAGCACACAATTATAGTTGTGTCAAGAAGGGAAATCAAGTTCAATGGCCATCAGAAACAGCTGCTGGAAAATGCAATGTCAACCAATGTGTGTGTCAAGAAAAAACCTATCCAAAATCTGGCCAAAATTTGATGGTGCAGCCTGTACACTTTGAACAGGCTGCTCCATCAAATTTTGCTTGACCTGTATTTTGAATTTTCAAGAAAATCATGAGCAAATCACCCATCAGATGTGTGTTATGGGTGCTGTTATGCATTGCTCAATTTTTTTCCTGGCTGACACGTATGTCCAACACACATTGATAACAGAACAAGTAACTTTATTGTAACAGGCAGACTGCATATGTTATTGCTTGAAAATAGGTACTCTCATGCCTGCTTGTAATGCCTCACATACACCTGGATTATTTGCTGGGATTCCACCCTTAAAAAAAATGCAGCAGTGATGCCTTTCCTAGCAAACACAAGTATGCAGTTTCAGGATTGTGTTTGCTAAGTGGAAAGTTTGTAGGGCAAATAATATTTTCCCTCAAGGTCCAATTTAAAATCTATTAATTGGTGCCTATAAATTGAATTTACTGCTAAAATTATCAAAATTGTCTAAATTTTAAGAAACCCAAAGAAAAAATAATTAAAACACCTCAAGTCTCCTATCAAAATCTTCCTATCTCAATCAGCTAGATGCTCTCCATTCTGAATAACATATAGAAACTGCTGTACTACTTTTACTTCATGCATTTGTGACATCTACAAGGGTTCTAACAAAAGTTCTTGGAATAGAAATTAAAATGGTGTTTAATTGAGATGGAAAAAATCATTCTTTAGGGAAAACATATTATTTGCCACACAAAAATCAGTCCTGTTGGACAATTTTTTTATGTTTTGCAAAATTCAACCTGGCAGAGTTTTGCTCTCAACTCAAAAGATGTGATGCCCTTCCTGCAGATTTTGTTTTTGTAGCCCAGCTTTCCCCTCAGAATTCTTGAAATCAATGTGGCATTAATACCAAGAGTTGCCTCCAGGTCTGCTAAGGTAATTCTGCCATTTTCATCAACAGCTGTCTTCACAGCCACCAATGTGGTGGCTGTGAAGGTAATTCTGCCATTTTCATCAACAGCTGTCTTCACACAGCTGAGGCATAATGACAAAGGATCTTGGTAACTTTTGCCCTTTCTTGTTGAGATCTGCTGACAAATGGAATGCCCTCCCATATTGGTAGTGTGATGGGGCAAGATGGTGCCCTCATGATTTCTGGAAAACCTGTAAATACTTGTTTTCCATTGAGTGTGACTGCAAGTGGCAGTTCTGCAAATACCATTCATCCAAAAATAAAAGGAAACTCACTCATGCAGTAAACCCAAAAAAGCCAAGGAATATTGTGTGCTGTGAAACAAAAATTCTGTTTTGACTATAGATGTGACATTTGTTGCATTGGAACTCAGCATGGTGGCAACTTTTGTCTGAGTAGGCTGGAGAGGTAAACACAGCTATTGAACTAAAAATTCTGCAATGAAAGAATGCAATGCGCCTGTATCCAGTAAGGCCTGATGTTGCTGATGGGCCACCACAATTTGGAGGAGAATCAGAGGAGTTGTGGCAGAGAGAGACGTCATAAAACAGTGTGCTGCATTCACTGTGACGTTGGCCCATTTCCCTGGACCTGAGGGCAGTATTGGGCAATATGCCCCTGTTTGTTACAATGAAAACAGGTAATCAACACATCTTTGGATTGAGCATTGCATTCCATGGTTGAATTTGGGAAAGTGATTGCAAGCCTTGTTGGTGCTGCTTCCACTGCTGGAACCTCTTGCTGGGACTGGTTTGGACAGAGCCAATATTCTCTGGAGCTATGTTGCATATGTTGTTCGTGGAATTCACATTCTTTTGGTGGAAGTTCCACATGCTGCCAAGAACCTGTTTTCTGACCTGTGTTACCTTGCCCTGCAGGTTTTTTGTTGAGTTGGTAGGCTTTAATTGGCAACATTCATGAGATTGTCCCATGTCATTGTCCATTGTTGGGCCCATTTCTGTTTCAGCTTGTCCCACAGGCCCCCTTCTGCAATGTTCATCAGCTGTTGCTTCAAGACGTGTTGCATCAGCAGTT